TGGCTGCAGGACTCTGTGTGTTTGCTGATATAACTTTGCTGTTTCCTTCCTTTCTGTAACATAATTACGTCTCTGGCTTTTCGGCCTCGGCTTTAACTCCCGTCAGACCTCTGTTTAAATAAAGGTCAAGTAAATTTGTTAAGTTTATTGAGAAAAGTTCAACACAAATACCCAGAGGTGGATGAATTAAATTATATCTCCCTTCTGCTCTGAGCCTGGGGATCTTATCATGGACCCGACACTGACCTTGAAACTCACTGGTCTTGTACCACATTAATCTCCCAGCAGCCCTCGGGCCGGACTTCCTCCACCGTTCCTTACTTTATATGTCACCGTCCCTACTGTCTTTGCAGCTGACAGACTGAGGGACAGTGGACATCGGAGTGCCGGCTTCTCTCCAACAAATCATCCTAATGAAGTGGCTGTGCTGCGGCCGGTGTCGGCCCATTAATAAATCCCAGTCATTAGGGCTGATGTAACAGAGTGGGCCTCAGGCGGAGGTGACCTTTGCTTGTTTGGAATTTAATCCGAGGACCGAGTGGATGGAGCGGCGACCGAACGTGGGGCGGTGTAAATGGAGATGAGTCGAGGTTTACTACTCAAACCATGAAGCCACACATTTACTGTTACATACAGTATTTAAAAAGTACTTTATTTTCTCCGGTGGTTTATAGAGGTTTTACCGTTGCCTTGTTATTTCCTTTCTTTCATTCCACATCAGTACATTAACTGGCAGTTATTATTTTAGTTCTGACCAATCAAATGTATTTGCTTCAGAGGTGCAGAATATTTTTAACAATTTGTGTTTTTTCTATATTGAAAATGTAAATTTTTATCTGTACAAACTACTGTATGAGTTGCTGCCACCTAGTGACTGGAGGCTAGTTATCGTTCAAGCATTACTGCAGTGGTACACTTATGTCCATTGGAAGCCCATCACGGCCCCCCATGTCACCTCACCGCGCCCCCAAGGGGGGCCCGCCCCACTATTTGAGAAGTACTGACTTTAAAGATAATGATGTCATCTCACTGGTATCTGTATAAACAGATATGACAGATATTAATACATTGAAAGTCTGTTTGTGCAGAAATATGCAGAGAAAAACCCCCGATGTGGTTGTTCTTATATGACTGCAGACTATAAACTCTACTACAGCGGGCGTTTTGCCAGAAGTGCTTAAACGACCATCATTTTAAGATTTCTTCTGCGGCTTCACATGTATCTGAAAATCTCTGACGAAAAACATTTCACAATAATTTAGTTTGTGGTTTATTTTTGGATAAAGTGAACAGACTGTACTTGTTGTCAGGCTCTGTGGTAAATGGTATTTAAATCCCAGGACGCATCAGTGTTATGTAATAGTTGTTAGTTATTACTTTGGCATTAACAGTGATGTCATTATACAAACACTGGGGGTTTTAAAAATTCACATCTCAAAGTTCTACGTTTGCTTTGGTGTTGATGTGGACCAGGATTTGAAGATGATGAAGAGATCAGAACCAAAGTTTCCAACCTCAGCACACACACACACACACACACACACTCACACACACTCACTCCCTCAGGACTGTCAGGCTCTGCTCCAGATGAATGTGCAGAGTGAGGGACAGAGAGACATGTTTTACACATTTCTGATGAAATAAACACTCTTGTAAGGCCCTGACACTGTGAAGTGAAGAGTGAAGATGTAAACAAGAAGCAGAAAGAATTCTGGGTAATCTTAGACACAATTTATAAGTACTTTTCAAAGACTGGTTTAAGAACTAGTTTTTTGTCTTGATCGAGTATTAGCCAAAACGAATACAACAAAAACTGTAAAACAAAAGCTGTAATTATCAAAAGATGACACAATGAGCTTTATTGGAAGAATAACCAAAAGTTAGATTCAATATATTCTGAAAATGTTTAAAACTTTCAGCTAAAATTAGATTCTAGCCAAACAGAGCATGTTCTGTTTTCCAAAGGTCCTCAAAGGAGCAAAGAAAATACCCACATAACCAAAAGTTAGATTCAATATATTCTCGAATGAAGTAAAACTAGTAGTGCAGGAGAGGCTACATAATCTCCGATAAAAGAGCTAAAACTCTGCTGATTAACAGTAGTGTTGACAAATGAAGTAAAAGTAGTAGTGCAGGAGAGGCTACATAATCTCCAATAAAAGAGCTAAAACTCTGCTGAGTAACAGTAGCTAATGATGGCTAAAAGACGAGTCAATGATTTCTGTCTGTTATCATTTTAAATATAAATAATCTGCAGCATTAATGAAGCAAAACATGAGCTACAAGTTACAGCAAAAATATAATCAAAAAGTCAAAAACAACGTGACCAATAGTAAACTCAAAGACCAAGGTAAGTTAATTTAGCAGAAGCCAAAATGTTCTGGTGATCTACGTGTCATGATTTAGAGTTTTTTTTTTAAATTTGCCTCTGAGCTCAAAAACATGACAAGTTTGGTCCAATCTCTCTGTTGTCAAACAAGCCTGTAATTTACTCCAACGAAACCATGTGTGTCCAATCACAGGAGGAAAATAAGGAAACGTTTCATTAGTCAGCAGTACAGCCACTTTACGCTTCAGCTCCAATCAATAACCGAGGAGGAGAGTCAACTGCATCGCAACGCATCATTATCGTCAAACATTTCTGAAGGAACTGGTCCCGTTTTTAGAACCTCCTCCCACGCGGCTCAGAAGAATCCAAGTCTGACCAGTGTCCGTTCGTGCCTCCATACATCATCTGTGTCTGCTCCACAAACATACAGCCTGACGTTGATGATGTCAGGAGCAGAATCAAGCCATACATGGTCACGCACACACACATATCCTTAGATCTAGTTATTTGGAATCGGCCAAAAGAGAAATTCTGGAATCCTACGCTGCATAATAGGCTGCGTAGCCGTCCAAAATAAACTCCTCACATTCCTGAAGTCCACATTTCTCTCAGGTTTGTACATAGCAGACGGGGTGAGTCACTCCTGTGTTCACGCACACGTACACTTACAGTAACGTTGTTTAAGGTTCTCGTCCTCTTTGACTCCAAACGTCTGTTCTTTAATCACCAGATACGGTTTGGTCCAAATTGGATCTGAGTCAAGTGGCTCCAGGGACATTTTTTTTATTTGCGGACGTGAACAAGGAAAGATGCAAATCAAAGAGTTTTTATCATGTAACTAAGTCCATTTTCTGTTATGTTTTCTCAGAATTTTGGCAAATAACAACAACGTCTTTAAACCACAGCTCAGTCATACACAAAACCAGTATATAGCACTTCTGTAGTCCTGATGACCAGGTCAAGGATCTTTACACTTCTCCACCTAGTTGGCATGGAATCTACCAAGTCTGGGAAAGTGTAAATTGCCAACAAGTTGTTTAAACTGGCATGAAATAGCTATTCAACCCCAACAGATATTTTTAAAGGCCATTAGCTGAGAACGTCTGAGCACAGTTTACGGCCAATCGTTAAAAAGTGGTTATTTATCTCTCCTCCTGACGTCTTGATTCCCTCCGGACTTTTGCGTGACATAAGAAAACATGGCTCACTTAAGACTTAAAAACACGACATGAGGAAGAGTAGGAAGAGTTAAAGGAATGGTGTTTGGGCTTTTCCCCCCTGAGGACGACTGATAACTGTTGGACAGGAAAGGCTTTACAAATGCCTGCATTCCTTGTTAACCTCGCTGAGCTATTTTTACCAATAAAGGCCTGTGGCCTGGGCAGGAGAAACAGGAAGGAGTGGTTTTCTTTGTGCCCCTGTGAGATTTACACTCCCCAGCCTCCGTCGCTCGTCACCGGCCAACCATCTCACATCCATCCTTGATGTCCAGCTCTGTGTACGCCATGCAGCGCCAGTGCTGACGACAGTGAAATGTGCAAACACCGCAGCTCCGTCTGTCCGCTGTCAGGACATGCAAATAGAAATCTGAGGCTGCGTGCACATATTTGATGATAAAAGCCAAGAGTCCAGAGGCTGGAGCTTTTCCTGGGAAATGTGTGCTATGGTTGTGTTTAAATAATGAAGGAAAGATTCATGGACACCAGGCCGGTGTAGGCATGTTTACTCCCTGTGCTGTTTGCACACGTCTTGCGTTTTGTTTTCTGTGGACATTCCACAGGTCAGAATTCCCCTCTGACTGTCCCATGAAGGTCAAAGGTCTCAGAGCAGACGTCAGACTGACCGGTCTGACCGGGCTTTGACTGGCGTTTGGTCTTCGTCGGAGCGTCGGCTCCTCGGGGGATTCCTGGAAGTGAATGTGAGCAGGTCTTAAGGGGATTAAGGAACAGAGGAGACAGAGGTCAAAATGGCCGTTAGCTTAGAAATCACCTGCTGTTAATGTGGAACTGTCAGAGGGAGTTAGTTATGACTTAGTCACTCAGAGGTTTCCTCACAGAGGACATGGGTAACCAAACTGAATTAACCCCAGTCCTGGTTTCATTTAAGGATCTAATTTAAAATGTATATATATTTTTTTTATCTCTAAATGACTTTGTGTCTTTGTACTCGTCCGATTTACTACTTCCTTTTGTCCACCCTTGTCCACTTAGGTCAGTGGGTCAATTGCTGGTGTCTGTATCTGTAAGTCTCTCTAAGAAACAAAGAGGTGATCTAGATTTTCTGGTCCATCAGACAGACTCCTTCCCTCTCTGTTTTTAAATCTGTTTTATAAACTGCCTCGGTTTGATTTGATATTTTGACCTAGATTTTGTTTTTTCTTGTGTTTGTGTTCTTACAGTTCTAGTCGTCAGTAAGTGGGTTTTTTTCCGACTTTATTTTTATATCAGACGTCTAAAACTCAACTCAGTACCAATACAACATATACTGTAGTACTCCCAGCATCAGTTCCTGGAACTATTCCATCCACTGATTCGATCTTGTCCTAGTTATCTGGTTCCCATCATCTTCACCTTTCTTTGTCTTCATTTCATGCCTGCTGTAAAATGCTTTCGTGCACAAACCCTGAATTATTTTTGTCTCCTAAATGTCTCGCTCTCTCCCTGTCTTCCAGAGCTTGGATGAGCTGGATGACGATGAACCCGGAGGAAAAGACAGGAAAGAAGAAGAAGAACTGGTCCAGGCCAACACCTTCCAGAACGAGGCCATGATCGCAGACCCCGTCACCGGCCACTTCATGGTGAGTAGTCACATGACATGGAAGGACTGGAGGGATTGGAGAGATCTGGAGTCTGGATTTTATATTAAAAACGTTGGAGTTTTGCTCTCGGCACGGTGTTGGACTCAGACTGATTCAAACAGAGGAAGTGTTGATCAGGAGTTTGTGTGAGAGGCGACAGAGGTGAAGATGTGTCGCCGCATTTCATCACCTCCTGTAGTGATAAGAGCCAAAAGCAGCTTCTCTGAAAGTGCCGTTAAAGCTGCTGTCAACAACTATCTTCAGCGTTATTCAGTTAGCACAGTGTAAATTAAAGAATCTGACGGGGACTGAAGGTGACTCCTGTAGTTGGATTTTAGTGTAAAGTTTTGTTTTTATTCTGTTTTTGTTTAAATGTTAAAATGGGGGAAAAAAGAATGCAAGTAGCAAAATAGTAAATAGTATTCGGTTTGCAAAACAACATATCATCATTGTTGTTCTGTACTTCTGAAAAATTTAGATTAAATTGTGCCTTCAGCGACCCCTTGTGGCTAATGTAACAACTGCGTCTAAATGAGAGCGAGCTTAACAAACCAGGGTTTTATCTGTTTTCAGAAGCAGGTTCAAATTAGAAAGACTCGGTCTTTAAAGAACAGACCTCGGTGCTGATGTTTGTACAGAGTCAAGATTCTCATTTATCAAACTGAATATGGGAGCTGGTGTTTGGGTCTGTTTTGTGTACGTGGTGTCTGCCTTCTAACAATGGGAGTCAGAGACTGTTGTCGTCTGCAAAATGAGGCTCTCAGCTTTGACCAGCAACAGTAATTAAAGTGAAGCCAGGCAGAAAAAAACTCTAAATGAATTAATGGAAGTAAAAAGTCCAACCAGACTGAACTCCCTTGACGGACCTGTTAGTTCAGAGGTGAGGATGGTCTTCACTTGTATGTTAGTGTTGCCCCTACATTCCTTTACACCACTGGTGTCAAACCTTTGGCCACGGGGCCACTTCTAGTCCGCAAACTCCTCACACCTGGCCTGTTACTTTATTTCAATAATAATTAATGATACACTTTAGGACCGATACCAATACTGCAACTTTGAGTATCTGCTGGTACCGATATCAATACTGTGCCTTCTGTCCTCCTGCCTATGGCCTCAGGCTGCTGTTGCTGAGGCCATAGTGTCTTTGTTTATGACATGTCGCACAAAGTTTGGGTCTACGTATCGGATTGGACAGGCTATAGTTGTTTTTTTTCCTGACGTTTTGTCCACTATCATGGCGTTACTGATCCTGAGTATGGAATTCAGCCTTCCCTGGTTTGTACTATAGTAATATAAAGACAATATGGAAGAAATATATCATGATCTTTTTTTTTTTATGCCATATCTCCCGGCCCTGGCTGACAGTGGTCTACGTATATACTTACATCTTCACTTCAAACAGTAAGACACTGAGAACGTGGAGATTCAGAAAGGCATCCAAGTGTAGAAGAACGTCTGGAACCTCTGCTCTGTTTTTGTTTTCAAACAAACCAAAAAAAAACATGGGAATGGAGTGAAAGAGAGTACGAGTGACTGCAGGGGCTCAGGTGCACACAACGCCTGACTTCCAGACGGATCTGCTGTCATGCATCAGTGGGATTATTCTGCATCTGAACCGTCTGCGGCTGCTTACACAAAAGTAAACTGGAGGTTTGGTGCGTGAGGTTAGCGCACAGACACAGACAGGAAGTTTGTGGCAGCACCTGTTGAAATGTGCCCCCGGAGGAAGAGGAGGAACAAGGCCCAGAAATCAAAGGATTTGATTATTTATGTCACGTTGTTTATGCACAAACAAACAAAGCTTCCAGAAGAGTCTGTTGCCTGCAGATCTGTTGCACATGGAGGCAGAAACTCTGCCCGGTTACAGACCACATCATTGAAAACAGACACTGTGGACTGAAACCTGTTCTTACATCACAGAGCCATGCCTAACACGGGCCAGATGTTGGGAAACCATTAGTCGTCTCGGTGTCACTTACATAAAGCTGACACGGCGGTGCCGCGGGGCATCGAACACTTACAGAGGAACGGACTGTAGGAGTTGAGGAGCAGGCAGAGGGAGGCTGGGGGGGAGTGGGAGTGGGCAGCGGGGGCGGAGGGGCTGCAGACCCGGCACGAGTCCAGTGTGGTCGTAGGATTTACTGCGGAGCTGTCAGATGTAAGGACGGAGCAGACGAAAAAATGTGCTGCTCCTCTCAGGCCCCATTTGTTATGGTGGAAACAAGTAATTGCCGTGTCAGGGCCGATATGGAAGGGATCAACCTGTCAAACTGAGCACAGCTGATAGCAACGTGCCGTATGTGGTCAAAGAAACCAAAATAAAAATAAAAAAGGAGGCTCAGTTTGTCTTTGTCATAGCTTTTCAGTAGCTGACGACAGAAACCCACTCTTGATGATGATTTTTCATTTCTGAAAAATGGAAGGTCACCAAAGTTTGTCCCTATTTCAGACAAATGTCGCCTTAAAGAGAGCTGAACTATTAAATATACACCAGCACCAGGACATGATGAAAAATATTTCATACAAGAGTCTGTTTCCATATGACAGAGTGTTAGTGCCACGAGATTTCGAGATTAAAGTCAAAGAGAAAAAAAAGTCGTAATATTGGTTTAATATCGTGAATTTGTGACATTACCACCTTTTTTCTCATAAAAATTACGACTTTAATCTTATTGTATTTATTTATATATTTTTTTTATTTTTTTTATTTTAATTTATTTATACGCCTCTTCTTCGTGAGGCTTCTAGAATTTTCCTCCACAGTATCTGCTTACGTGTGAAAATCCTCTTTTCTCCGTTGACGGCTGACGTTCTTCACCTCGCGCTCTTGTAAACGAGCCTCATTTGCATTTTTAATTTGCACCTTACACAGAGACAGTGCTGACGCTCAGCTTCTCCGTAAACTCCAGGCGTGATGTTTTGCAACCGAGAGCTGCAGCAGCAGATCAAACCCAACAGATATGGACTACAAGTGGATTGGAACTCTCTGGAAAGACATTGATTCTTTGTTGATAGTGTTGATGTGATGAGAAGTGTTTGGGGTTTGAGTTGGGAAGACTCAGATTTTTGCAAATTTGTCTGTGAAAAAAACTCCTTTTCAAATTAGATTTTTTTTTTGCATTACTTTAATACTGTATGTTTGGCCAAACTACTAGCTTCTTGGGCTAACATTTAGCAATAGTCGGTTTTATACCAAAGAAATCCAGATTTGGTTCTAAGCAGGAAACAAACCCATGTTGCGTAGGACTTCATTGGCTACAGTTGTTGATTGTGATTTAAAACTAATTGAGTTACATCACATTTTTTGTATGTCACAATAGAGAAACTTCTTGATACAATTTTAAATCTTTTCAGAATAACTTCAGCCAGGACTGTAATATCTATAGGTTGTTCACCTGTTAGGTCTGTGAACGATAGTCACCGACAGCCTGTGTTGCAAAGTCATATGTATGTAAAAGGATCCGTCACATGGGATTAAAGGGTTAAAGGCACATTTCCATATAGACAGCCTTTCTCTGTGTCTTTGTCCACTGTAAGCTTTTCCAGGAAAACCTGGGTTTTTATGGCGATCTGTGTTGTATACACAGCATATCTGCAGTGCAAATGATTCCTGTAGGACCTCACGCCTTTTATTATTTTTTATTTTCCCTTTTTACCTCGGTGGCTCCATCTGGCTCATATCTGTTCACCCCAGGTCTGAGGTTTACTAAACAACTGAGGTTTTTTTAATGTAAAAGTGACATTTTATTCTATCTTTATAAACAGATATTTAATGAATAGGAGAATAAAGGGTGTTCGTATATACTTCTTACAATATGTATGTAAACATGTATGAATATATTTATATATGTTCATATGTGTATATATTTATGTATGTTTGTATATATATGCATGTATATATATATACATACATATGCATGTAAATATGTATCTATATATATTTATAGATACATATATATGTATGTATATATGTATACATATATATGTGTGTATGTATATATGTATACATATATATGTATATATATATATATATATATATATATATATTGCTAAGATATTTCTAACTAAATGTTAGTCACAGAAATACCAAAAACTACAAATAGCCAATGCTAAGGCTAAGCTTGAAAAATAAGAATACTTTTTTTAAAAAAAATCTCCTCCATAAAATCTCACAATTTCACTGTAGGTTCCCATTTGAAATAGTTCAGTAATATAAAAAAATATATATAAAGTTTGTTAAAGTAATATACGGATGCTCTGTTAATGATTTGTTGGTGCTTCTGATTTTTTGGGTGGAAAAAATCCTTAAAAATATTAGATTCACAGAACATGTTTTTTCTGCAGCTTTCGCTGCTGCCTGTGCTGTTGTCATAAAAACCTCCATGTTTCCCATCATTCCAGTAAACGCATGAGGAGGAACAGGAGTAAATAGTGTCAGGACTTCATCTTTAGGTCATGAATGACGTGTCTGTTTTAATCCTGTGAACCTCAGCTGTCTGTGATGGCAGCAAACCTACAGCACAGTGTGTCTCCTCAGTCAAACCGAAGGCCTTTCACTGAATGTGGCCGAAGGCGAGAGTTGATGTGTTTTCATCTCACACCGTCTCTGACGTGAAGCTCTGGTTGCTGTTATCTCGCCATCACTTCCATATTCTGCCAAACCAACCTTTAGATTAGGTTTTAATGAGAGAGGAGACACAAACATGTATCTGTGTGCTACAAACACAATTGCCTTTTATTACTTAGGGCTATAGAGACCATTCAACACAACAGAGTATGCTATATATTAGAGCAGCAGCAGCAGCAGCAGCAGCAGCAGCAGCTGGGGAGATCCACCCTGGTTCAGACACCACCTGCAGGCTGTCTATGAAGGCTGCTCCTGATAAATGTGTCTTATTGCTGAGATGGAGTTTTTTTTCTTTGATTGTTATTTTTTACCCTCTATGTTGAATCAGTGCAACCAAAGGCAGAAAGAACTCAAAATAAAATCTTATCTGTGGAATTATCAGTGGTTTGTTGAAATCCGATGGTGTTGCCTGACTCTAAAAACATCTGCCATTACACAAAATTAACAAATTTACACACCGTAAGTTCTTTGTCTCCGTAGACAAAAGAAACACAGTCTGTTTTACACTACATTTGCACATTTTTCAAACTTAGGTGTGACCAATCAAATATTCTTGAAGACATCCACCAGGGGGCGACCTTCCATTCAAGAAAAATCTAAAAATTTTGTCTTCCAAATTTTAGTGGATTCCAAAAGAACAAACTTTTGACAAATTCACTCTGTTTTGTGCTTTGTTTCCACAAATAACCTTTATTATTTTGCAGCTATGCATTTCGTAATACGAGGAACTCCAAAATATAAAAAAAAATGCATTTTTGTTTCTTCACCCTCAACTGTCTTTTTAGCAGGACTGTGTAGCTTCCGTGCTAACAGCCAAACTATAGTTGCCTTATTTTACTACTACTTTACATATGGGCCACGAGCTCAAACTGTATGCATAGTGCCCTCTGCTGGAGCTCTTAGTAACTACATCGAAAAAGCCTCTACAGATATTTCCGACTTTCTTCATTAATTCTCATTTTTAACAGTTTGTTCCTGTTTTGCTGTGTTTGTTTTTAGGAAACCCCACGATGCACCAGCAGCAGCAGCAGACACAAGAGGTAAGACCTATCATTCTCACACTCAGAGTTGACTCTATCTGTCCCAGCATCACTGGTCATATGTCAGGACGAAGGGAAAG